GCATCCATCCATCCATCCATCATCCATGCATCCATCCATCCATCCATCATCCATTCATCAGCTGAAGCATCTTTGCTGCTCGGTGGTAAAGTGGGTCTGATGCACGGTGGGCGGAGCTACCCTATCCATTCTCTGCCTGGAACAATGGCGGCTATATTAGCTGTGATCAGCGGGTAAAAAGTAGTTAGAATCTATGTTGAAGGTTTTTGCGGTTTGCGTCGGCAGCTGGAGGCGGTTTTCACGTCCGTAATCCAAACTGCAGGCAGCAGGATAATAAAAGCCAACATATTCTGCCGGCAGGTTTCTACATTTGAAGTTAATTTAGGCGTTAATAAGCTGTTAGCTGCGTCTGACTCCCTGCCAGCTCCCAGATCAGCTTCTCTCATTGGTTGATGAGGCGCGTCCAGCAGCTAAAGTTTAATTTTTCCAGCAGCTGCTTCTGCTGCTCAAACGCGCTGCGGGACCTTTAGCTGCGCCTCGATGCGCGTCAACCTTTGACTTTGCAGGTAAAGCAGCTGCTTCTGCTGCTTTAGGTGTGAACGTAGCATAAAGAGGAAAGAAACAGGAAACTCTGGTTTCCTGAACCAATCCTGCTGCTGACCAGGTTAGCTCTGAGGAGAATGTTGCTATGGTAACATAGACAGAGTTTCAGTAAACCTGCTTAATGAAACGAGCCCTGAGCTCCTAAACTGTTTCCTGAAATGCTGAAGGTGTGTTTGTTTGTGCTTGTTGCCATTTATACTTTTATAGTTTTGCTTTGCCGCCGTATCTCTATCCTCTCAGACTGATGGCGTCAAACTGCTGCGCCGTTAGACCTTAGTTGTTGTTCTGTTGCTGCAGGCTGACCCAGGCTCCCCTGTTTTGGCTCCAGGAGATCCAGAAAGGATGAATATTAAGAAGTGTGAGGAGATGGGTGGAATACCTTACCACATCAATGTCGTCAAGTACATTGTAAGCACAGAAACACGCTCAGCATTAAATGCTTTTCTTCTTGAAGTATTTCTCTTCTGCAAATGTCACATTATATGCTAAGCATTCATACGCTGACAGCTGAGCTTTTCCCAGTTATTCATCTAAATAATCCGATGTTCTGCTTTTGCTTTAAAATAATGTTTTTATTCAACGATCTAGACGTCTTCATCCTTTCCTTTGTCTTTGCAGAACGATTATGTGAAGAAAATTGGTGTCAACGAGCTTCTGCCATGTGACAAGATCGTCTCCATTTAGATGCTGTGTGTGAAACCGGTGGACATCTGGCCTGAATCAGCAGCTTCTGGCCCTCAGGGGCCAAAAAAGGCATCAATTCTTTTAAAGAGTGAAAAAGTGGCTAAAACTGCTTAAAAATAGGATCTGATCTGTAAACCAAAGGATGAAATCCAAAGTTTAATTATTACAGCTGCAACCAGTCCTTTAAAGAAATGAATAATCTGACATTGCCCATTCTAAAAATGATTTCTATGATCAGCTCTGGACGTTCAGCTTTGTGAAAACGCTGCTCTGCTTATTTTAATGAAAGGGAGAATGTATCTATGGCACCAATTTACTAACCTTCCAGTATTTATCCCTTTATTAGGAGTCAATCATTCAGAATAACATTTTACTAATGTTCTAAAAAAAATAAGCTGTTTGCATTTTCTCTTCGTCTCCTTATGCAGGTTTGTTTGTGTTGTTTGAATTCATGCTGAGCTGATTGAATTTTAACTGACCTTAAATTAAAGGTTGTTTGCAGTTCAGAGGTCTGATCCAAAGGTTTTATCTCCTGATGGATGGATGCTTCCACCTTCAGCCTCCTTGATTAGAGAAAAATAATTCTCCAATATTTGAAATGGCCAAATTTAAAGTAGCATAAACCAGAAAAAGAAAGTAAATTTCTAAAACGGTTGTTTGTTTTTCTCACAGTTTGTATCTGTGTCAATCTGAAGTTAAAAACTTCTGACAATCAGACTGTTTTTGCTGAATGTGAATAAACTAACATTATAAATGTTCTTATAACTGAGCTTCTCCTGTTATGGAAAGATTTATATCTAGAACATATAATAATATTACTGTAGCAGGATGTATAAAAGTATATGATAGCACATATACTGTTCTATAGTTTCTCTGCCTTTTTAAAACCTTTTATTTTTTACACGATGACTTTAAAAAGCAACATTTCTATATGCCTTTTTAAATAAAAATCTTTTCTAAGTACTTGGGTTTCAGTTCTATTCAGTTTATTTCTATATCTCCAAT